GGTGCCCCCGGGGACGAGACGGAGGACGTGGACTTCCTGTCTGGGCTGGAACTGGTCGATCTGCTGGACCCCCGGCGATCGGACTGGCCCCTGGAGGGGCGAGGACTGCACCCTCCATCTTGCCTTGGGTCCTCCATTTTTGGACAGAGCCATGTGCTTCTTCCTGGAAGAAGCCTCTGTTAGCCACACCCAGGATTTCTCTGGACTAACCAATAATAATCAAGGGAAGTGCACGCCATCACTATGACCACATCCTGTGTAATGAGACACACACTTGCGCCTGGCCAATCGGCGGGGCCCACAGTCCCCTCTCCTGCCCTTACTCACCCCCCCTATAAAACCCCCGTCCCATCAGGCCTCGCGCTCTTGGCCACTAGGCTTGCCGTTGTGACGGTGAGTCTGGTGAACGGGGAGCGCAAGCTAGCTTGAATTAAAAGCTTGAATTAAAGGGCACTTTGCTTTTGCATTGGAATGGCTGGCTCCCTGATGGGCACTTGGGAATCTTGGAATCTGGGCACAACACATTCCCTGTGTTTGTCTCCTTCTTACTCCTCCCACCCTGCCCCCCCATTCTCCTTTCCCTTGTGAGCCTGAGCCCTGCCTCCCTACCTCTTATTAACACCCCCCGCCCCCAATCCCCTGCCATGTTCACTGGTTTCTCTTTTAAACCTTCCCCTTTCCTCTCTTGGACCTGCTTTCAGCCCCGCCTGAGCACACTTTGATATTAAAGCTTCTGTTCAGGGGGCATTAACCCCTGGCCCAGGGCCCAGCCCCGGCCAGGCCTTTGCCGCCCCCCCTTCCTCAGCCTCCCTGCCGCCGTCCTCCTCCCATTCCCTGCCCGGGACGCCCCAACTTCTAGTCAAAGTACACTTAATGCGCCACAAACCTAATCCTGGCCAGTGTCTTTGGGGTCCAGCCCTCAGGGATGAAAGGGGTACCCTCCTTAGTGTCTGACTCTGCCCCAGGTAAGCTGCACCTCCCCTCCCAGAGCGGGGCGCCCAGCCCAGCAAGGGTGGTTGAGGCCCATGTGTCCCAGGCGCTGCTGCCATGAAGCAGGAGCACCTCCGCCCAGAAGGCCTTGGACCATCCACCACTCTATCCCAGGACCCACGGGCACCTCCCTGCCAACAGCCCATGCTGGGGGCCATCGCCCTCCTCCCACGTCTGGGCGGGGTTCTGCGCCACCCCCTCCTGCATGCAGCCTGCGTTTCCTTCCCTTTTCCATTCCTGAGTCTTATTCTTGTTCCCTTTCTGTATTTCTGTTTCTCCTCTCAGACTGTCTGCATGCAGGCCTGCCTTCCTCTCCCTCTCCTTTCTTATCCCCTCCTATCATATCCCATCCTACCTACCCCGGGCCTCACAGTTGCCTGAGCAGGGAGTGGGATGCAGCCTGCTGACTGGTCGTTACATGATGGCGTCCTGACCAATTTGCGTATTATCCTATTATTAGATAGACTAGAGGCCCGTTGCAGGAAGATTCCTGCTAGAATAGGGCTTCCTGAGACTGGAGCGAAGCAGAGAAGGGAGGGAAGCCCACCAAGGCAGGCTTCGCTTCCTTCTCCGCTGCCTCCCTCCCTCCCTTCACCGCTTTGCCCTTGGCTCCCTCCTTTTTCTGCCACCTGGGCTCTCTCCCTTCTCTGCAGCTTTGCTCCCTTGCCAGGTCACGGATCCAAGACCCGGATCCCCCGGGCAGCATCGGGCGGTGCCAGCCCCGCCTTGCCGGGTCAGGGATCTAGGGCCGGGTCCCGTGGGCAGCGTCGCGTGCTGCCAGGCCCGCCTTGCCGGTCTGTGCTGCCCGTCCCACCTGCAGTATGCAAATTTAACAGCCATCTTTGTTGGGTTAATTTGCATACTCTTCTGACTGGTTGATGGGCGTAGCGAAGGTACGGTCAATTAGCATCTTTGTCTTTTATTAGTGCAGATAGTTCAGTACCAGGAGTGAGGCCTGAATGAGTTTAGCTCTCCAGTCACCTCTAGAGGGTGCCAGGGAGATTCGGACTTTCACCTTAGTCCTTTTTTTTTTTTTTTTTAAGTTCAATACCTCTTTTATTTCTTTTTTTAAATTGTATTTTTTTCTTTATTAATTAAGGTATTACATACGTGTCCTTATCATCTTAGTCTTTATGCAACTCACACCTACAGTACTTGCTACTCCACCACCCTTCTTTCTTCTCTTTTTAATGACTTTGTCTTAGCTCTTACTTTTGGAAATAAACTTCTGTTTCACAAAAACTTTTTTAAAGTCAACATTAATAAAGAAGGCAAGGTGAAAGTGACTGGGAGGAAAACTACCCAATCCACAAGAAAATCTGTTCCTTCTACTGTGCTTCAAGGGAGGAAGCAGCTAGGGGCCAGACAACTGGGACGGGGTAGACACTGCAGAAGTGTCTCCCTGGAGCCCCCAGTTAGTATTTAATGTTCTCAAAGGGTGGAACCCAAGGTACCCAAGTAGATATATATTCCCTTCCCTGGGGCTGTCTTCCATTAGTGTCAAGTTCTTGGAGCTATCAGAGTCACTTTTTACTTTGAACAGAATAAGATGAAGGCAAGAAAGAAGAGGAAGAATGATTTATCTTATCTTTAGAAGAAGAGAAGATATATACCTCTTATCAGAAACTAGGTAAGCAGGTGCAATACTAAAGAAATCCTTTCTAAAATTTCAACCATTATTTGCCATCCAAACTAATTAGGAAGTCCAAGATAGAAAATATTTCAACAAACATGACCTAAACTAAAGTAAAAACTGGGAAATCTGGAAAAATCAACTCTTAATTCACTTTTAACACTTTGCAATGAAAACATAACAAAACCTTAACTTATACAGTGTTCTTTCTTTCACAAGGCCTTTAACAATGGGCTTCCCTTGGAATTATATGAGTAGCCCATGATAAAATGACTTTTCCATACACACAGACTGTTTATTCTCAGATTATAGCTGTATGACAGGATAATGTACACATCTTTATCAAATGAGTCAAGTAGTAGTAACTAGTATTTTCTTTACTTGACCCTCAATTTCCATAGATGTCATTATCCCCATTTCCAAAATGGGACATAAACTTTGCTAAAAATCATAGAACAAATTACTAACATGACCTAAGACAGAACCCAAGCTGCTTGAAACACCTCATTCAGCACAGACCTTGCCACCTTCATAGCCAACACATCACACCACCATGAGTTTAGATATTAATACTTTGTAACAATTCCTCACAAAGGTCAAGTCTTCAAAGGCTTAAAATCACTTATTATAAGTGAAAGATCCTGCCAAAATAGCAAATTATAAAGCAGTGCAATATTCCAGGGCTCTATTTCCTGCACTGTTGATACCTACAGTTGAAAAGTCCAGGTCTCCACCTGTGAGATTTCTTCAGCTGACAAGAAGCAAAAGCCCCCAAGTTCAGGAACAATAATGCCCCCTTGGAGACTCCATTCCACGTTCTGGTGAGCTTCTTCAGAGCAGTCTGGTACTCTCAGCCATGAGCTGCGATGAGCTGTTTCTCCCCTAAAGAAACAGCACACAGTTCCTGATCTTCTTGCAAGTTTTCTTTCACAAAAACTATGCATTTCATGTTATATTTGATGTCAAAGGGCACTTTGATGGTAAGGACTAGTGTCTGAATGTTACAGCTTATGCCAGTGAATGTTCAATGCAGAGTGCCTGATGCCAAGACACAGCAGTCAGAACTAACCCAGTCTTCTTCTGTTGCTCACACCTCAGAATCTGTGATGAGCCAAGCAGTGAGAAGCAGTGGGAAACACAGGAAGCTTTACTGTTTTGGAAGTTAGCATTTTCAGAGGGATGTCTCATGCAGCCTTGACTTGTCATAAATCCAATTTCTTCAGCTGTTCATATGTCACAAAGAACTACAATTATTGGTTAAGGCTGACAAAGAAAATGCCATCTGAACTCCAACAAATAAAAATAAATCTTCAAATAGCAAACTTACCAACAAATATATCTGGGCAGACCACATGCTATAACATGGTTAAATACGAGGGCTCCATCCTAACTATTCCGAAAGATCTACCCATTAGCCTTCCCAAGGTCAGCTTGGAACAGGAAGATCACAGCTGACATACACACATAAAAATCCCTTAGCATCAGCTCTGAGAGTTTCTTCTAAGATTATACCCACACTGCCTAGCTTTTGTGACTTTACTGAGGTGGGAAGACATTACCGTAAATTCTGTGTGAAAGAGAAACACAGCAATCCCTGGGAAGCTCTCCCCAAGGGTTTCTGCTAGGCAGGCCTCCATAAGGGGAGAGGCACAGATAAAGAGAAATAAGAGGATGGTGACACCAACATTCTCTACCTTATAATTCTGCCCTTTCATGTCTAATGAACTGCCACTTCTTTCCTACCCCCCACTTTGGCATACAGGAATAGTGCTGATAGGCCGAATCATTCTAGAGCTAATTACTATTTATCCTTTGGTACTCTCTAAAATAAACATTCTAGAGCACTGCAACCAAACCACTTCCTTCCCAAGGGTGGCTGGGATATAAAATCAACCCAGCCTCTCTCTGAAATCTTAAATAATCTAAGCTTTTAGAATAGTCTAAGTAAAAAATTTTATTGATATCATTACCTTTCAATAACACCATCATTAAACCAAGATTCATAGTGCCTAGCACAGAGATTTTATACCTCCTGAAAAAGAAACTGAACAGCCCAGCTGGTGTTGCTCAGTGGTTAAGAGTCAACCTATGAATCAGGAGGTTATGCAAGGTTCGCTTCTTGGTCAGGGCACATGCCCAGGTTGCAGGCTTGGTCCTCAGTAGGGGTTATGCAGGAGGCAGCCGATCAATAATCCTCTCTCATCATTGATGTTTCTATACCTCTTTCCTTCTCCCTTCTTCTCTCAGAAATCAATAAAAACATATTTTTAAAAGAACTGAACAGTTACTTCTTGAATCAGAGGAACATAAAAGACTAAAAATCAACTTCAAATTATAATAACATGATAGTTTACACAAACAATATTTTAGCTATCTTTTTTCACATCTACTACAACAGAAAAGGATACAATGATATTCCAAGGACCAAGTCTCAACCAATTTGGCCAAAACCCTTTATAGAGAGCAAAAAATCCTTCTTTCTTCCATGTCTGTTATAAAAGGGGGAGAAAGTTAATTTGCAACTTTCCAATTATGTCAAATACATTAATAATAGTATCCCGACTGAACCAAAGTATTTTTCTTAAAAATAAAATCCTGCTTCAAAGGACTAAGAAATCATTGTCCTCTGCCTCTTTTTGGTCTTTAAAGGCTTCTGCATAGGTGACAACTAAGGCTCCATGCCAAACCATCCCACACCCAAAGCAGGCAAACAACAGTTGAATGAGTAAGAAATGAGATTTAACAATTCCAACCAGAGTCTTTTGCCTCTTTTCCATTTGGGCCCACAAACAACTCAGACATAAGGAAACAAAGCAATGGTGGTAAAGATATAGTTCAGAGCACCACTATTTCATGTTGTTGGATGAATTATAAATAAGTATCTTTGCTTCATTAAAGCAATACTTAAAGTCTAGCATCATGCCAGAAAATGGAAACCACAAAAGTGCCCCCCTAAACTTTGGTTGCTGGCAATCCAGTAGGGGAGACACTGGCAAACTTCTGTCCACTCGTAAGCAATAGGCCCGATTATTTAAACTAAGTATTACAGTAAGATTGATGTGTTCCTTTGTGAGATGTCTGAATGAAGGGGACTCATTCCAGTTTGACTCAATAGGTAGGATAAATTTGCTCATTTCATATCCCTTATTGTTATTAATTATACTAATAAGACTTACCAAATTATTTCTGGCACTATGCTGTTTTATGTAGGCATTATTTTTACAATGACCCTATGATACACGTACTATTATTGTCCCATTTCACTTATGAGGAAACTGAAGTATAGAGGCTTTATCTTGACCAAAGTCACACAATTACAAGTGACAGATCCACAGGTCTATCTTACTATAAACCCTGTGTTTTAAAATGATAAGAAACTTGTAATAAGTGGGCCAGATGGAAGCTAATGAGCTAAGAGAGGAATTCCCAACTCTACAAAGATGGACATTCTCACCTGTAACAAGCAATCCAGGGTACCCATGTACCCAGAGCATCTGCCATCACGAAGGACTCTCTGATTCATCATACGTGTCCTCACAACATCCACAGGGTTGGAGGCCAGAGCCCCAGCCAGACCACAGGTGAAGCTTGAGCTAGGAAAGATACCATTAGAGAAACAAAAAGGTCACTACCACCATCAAAGACAGGAAACAGCCTCCTCCCAAACTATGTTAAAGTAACATGGAACAAGGTGAAATGTATCAAAAATAAGGACCATATCTAGAGAGCTGTACAAACTTCTTTTTTTAAAAAATATATTTCATTGATTTTTTTATAGAGAGGAAGAGGGAGAGGGATAGAGTTAGAAACATCAATCAGCTGCCTCCTGCACACCCCCCACTGGGGATGTACCCACAACCAAAGTATATGCCCTTGACCGGAATCGAACCCGGGACCCTTCAGTCCACAGGCTGACACTCCATCCACTGAGCCAAACCGGTCAGAGCTGTACAAACTTCTTAAACACCAGCACTGATTATACTGGCTTATAAATTCCAGCCTCAGCTAAGAATATCTCGGAGGTTCTAGAATGTCAAAGAATCATAGAAACATGAAGGGACATTCTCCAAGAATGATCTATTACAGTGATTTTAAACTTTATTCATCTCATGGCAAACATAAGCTAATTACTAAAATTCTGTGGCACACCAGAAACTATTTAATTTTATTTATTTACTTTTTTACTGATTTGACAAAACTGGGTATAATTTTGATTCATTCACACTGACGGCTAATGTTGTGCTGGCTGTTGTCATTTTTTTGACAATTTAATGGAAAAGAAGTCAGTACCCCTGACTGAATAGTCAGGTATTGCATGTTTTAAAAATTCTGTGGCACACCCATTGAAAATTGCTGATCTATTGCATCTATTCACCTATAAGTAGAAATCAGAGTAACTTTAGTCATCTCATGACCATATGTTTCTTCAATAATTAAACACCAGCACTGATTATACTGGCTTATAAATTCCAACCTCGGCTAAGAATATCTCGGAGGTTCTAGAATGTCAAAGAATCATAGAAACATGAAGGGACATTCTCCAAGGATGATCTATTACAGTGATTTTAAACTTTATTCATCTCATGGCTCTGGCCTCCAACCCTGTGGATGTTGTGAGGACACGTATGATGAATCAGAGAGTCCTTCGTGATGGCACATGACCATATGTTTCTTCAAAGATTTCCTCAATGGAATGCCCACTAGGGGCTCAGCTTCTACTAAACTTTCAGTCTCACAAGACTGCCACAGACCACACCTAGTTCAATTAACTCAGAGCAGCATTTCTCAACTTCAGCACTAAGATTTTGAACCAATAATTCTTTGTCATGTAGGTCTGTTCTGTTGTAAGATGTTTAGCAGCTTCTTGGCCTCTACCTAGTAGATGCCAATAGTACTTCCCTACTCATAACTATAGGAACAGTCTCCAGAAATTGCCAAATGTCCCAAATGGGCTAAATTGCTCCACAGTTGATTAAACTATGATGTATCCAATACTAATCTGCAGCTATTAAAAATAAATGAGGTCTATTTGTACTGCTATCGAAAGATATTTGGAATAGATTAAATTTTAAAAATCAAATAAGAAAGCCCTGGCCAGGTGGCTCAGTCAGTTGGAACATTGTCTCACACACCAAAAGGTTGTAGGCTCAATTCCCAGGCAGAGCACATATCTAGATTTCAGGTTAGATCCCGGGTTGGGGTGAGTATAAGAGGCAACCAATCGATTGTTTCAGATCTAGGTTTCTCTTGGGGAAAAAAAAATACACACATACACACACACACACACACACACACACACACACACACCACATCCTTGGGTGAGGATTAAAAAGCAAGTAAGAGAGGCAAATATTGCATAGTATCATTTATACATGAAATCTAAAAACAAACAAAACTACTCCAACTCACCCGGCTGGCATGGCTCAGTGGTTGAGCCTTGACCTATGAACCAGGAGATAATGGTTCAATTCCGGGTCAGGGCACATGCCTGGGTTGCAGGCTTGGTCCCCAGTAGGGGGCATGGAGGAGGCAGCCGATCAATGATTCTCTCTCATCAATGATGTTTCTATCTCTCTCCCTCTCCCTTCCTCTCTGAAAACAATAAAAATATATTTAAAAAAAAAAAAAAACAAAGAAAGAACTATTACAACTCATAGAAACAAAGAGTAGAAAAGTATTTGTCAGTGGCTAGGGGATGGGGAAAATAGGGAGACAGTAAAAGGGTACAAATTTTCAGTTATAAGATGAATAAGGTCTGAGGACCTAACATATAACATGGTGACTATAGTTGATAACACTGCATTTTATAAATGAAATCTGCTAAGAGAATAGAACTTAAATGTTTTCACATGCACACAAAAGGATAAACATGTGAGGTGTGTAAGTTGATGGGGAAAATCCTTTAACAATGTATACATATTAAATCATCATATTGTACACTTTAAGTATCTTTCAATTTTACTTGTCAATACCTTAATAAAGATGAAAAATAATTCAAAAGGGGGGAAACAAAGCATATTTGTGTAATGAAGCACATGTAATATACTTTTGTAGACATATTTGCATATGCATAGAAAACACCTGGAAGGTACTTACCAAACTGTTAACAATTCCTACCTATGTAAAGGGATAAGACTGTTAATTTTTCCTGGTTCACTTCTGTATTGTAATTTTTCAAATATGAGGATATAATATTTTTATAATAGCTTTAAAATTTCTATAAATTTGTAGCAAATTTTCACCCTAAACTCATGCAATCCTAAAATATAATTTAAAAATCCATAAACATACAGGAAGTGAGTATACACAGTGTCTCCCATCAGGCCCGAGAGAATCAGATGCTTCTTGGTGAGGTCGTAAACTGGCAGCTCCACACCAACAACAATAGCAGCCCTCTGAGCAGTAAGAGACACGCCCTGGGTAAACACATTAGTAACAGGGATTCAGACATCTCTCCTGTTGGCAGGTAGAAATATACATAGAGTAGAAAAGACCAGAGTGTAAAAAGTCAGGCGCTCCAACATTGAATTCTGATTTTGTCACTAACTTTATGACCTTGGACAGACCTTGGCCAGGACAGTAACCTCTCAGAGCCTCCAGTTTCCTTGTACATACAGAGAGGATAGTACTGGGTGATCTTTAGGATCTATTCTATGAATATTTTAAAAAGCACTAGTGCCCTGGCTGGTTTGGCTCAGTGGATTGAGCGTCGGCCTGCAGACTGAAGGGTCCCGGGTTCAATTCCAATTGGGGGCATGCAGGAGGCAGCTGATCAATGGTTCCCTCTCATCATTAATGTTTCTATTTCTCTCTTTCGCTTCCTCTCTGAAATCAATAAAATAATAAATGTTTAAAAACTGGATGAGAAACATTTGTATAA